AGAAGATTTTGCTAAGGTGAAGAGAAGAGTTGCTGAGTTATACAAAGAACATGAGAAAGAACTTCTGGAGGTAATGCTGGTCTGTTTATCTTAAATTGGTGTTTGAAAAGGCAAGTAGAAAAATTATAACTGCTTGCCATCTTTCTATATGTCCATTTATTTATTTTTTTCTTCCAGATGATTGTGTGTCATTATTGTCTGTTGATTAAGTTTCTATGTTCCCTCTATTGATAGGCAAACAAAATATTGATGAAGAAAATCCAAGAAGATCAATTCTTAGACCTTCTAACTGTTAAAACGGAAGTTCGTGCTGTATGTAAAGAGCCTTACAGGTTAAGCCACAAACATTAATGCCAATGCCACCATTTTGTCTGTCCAACTGTTCATGTTGGTTGATGTGTTTGACATCATGTGCATTTTACATGCATAGTTTTTCTATTCTATATATTACTTAATGTTCTTCTACATACTTCATGCATGCTTTGTTTTGTAGTTTGAGGTACTTTTCTGGTTATTCATTAAGTAATATTGCTGGTCATTTGCAGTATTTATAAAGCTGTTCTCAAATCAAAGAGTTCAATCAGTGAGATTAACCAAATTGCTCAGGTTTGCTTTGATATATACCTTGGAATATAAAGATTTTGGATAAAATTTTTTGTATGTTGAAAACCAACTGTTTGTTGTAACCAGCTTCGTATTATTATTAAACCAAAGCAATGCATTGGGGTTGGGCCTTTATGCAATCCACAACAGGTAACTACTTATCATGGTCACAAATATGGCTGTTTTCTGCACCCACTTTTACTTGGTATATCTGAAGGCATTTCTCTTGTGTTTTCTGCAGATTTGCTATCATGTTCTGGGGTTGATCCATGGAATCTGGACCCCTATTCCTAGATCTGTACGTATGATATTTTTTATTCTATTTGAGAGTAGAAAGTGTGAGTTTCAAGAGAAATAAATTTTCATTGACTGGTAAGAAATATTTAATTTGTTTTGTTTTAGGTGAAGGATTATATTGCAACCCCTAAACCAAATGGCTACCAAAGTCTTCACACCACTGTGATTCCATTTTTGTACGAGAGTATGTTTAGGCTAGAAGTCCAGGTATTTTTTATTTTTTATTTATTTTTGCTTTTTAAAAATTTTACTTTTGCATGTTGCATTTTCACTATCTACTTCTATATTGACTTTAGAGCCTTAGCTGATCCAAATGAAATTCATCATAAAATTTTCTAATAGTGTCTTACTTTTTTCAGATTAGAACAGAAGAAATGGATTTGATAGCTGAGAGGGGCATTGCTGCTCATTATAGTGGGAGAGAATTTGTTACAGGCTTGGTTGGAAGTGCGACCCCAAGTAGTAAAAGCTCAAGAGGGAAGACAGTTTGTCTTAACAACGCCAATATTGCACTGAGAGTATATTATCTGTCCCTGATAGACTATGATAGAAATAATATTTTAATCTTTAAAGAGAGATTTTTACTCAATTTTGACACCATTAGGCTGTTGGCCTAGAGGTAACGTTGTCTTTGCACCAGAAAAAGAGAAGATCTTGATGCTGATTTCATGAATGAAATATTTACTTTCCTACAGATTGGCTGGCTCAATGCAATTAGAGAGTGGCAAGAAGAGTTTGTTGGCAACATGAGCTCTAGGGAATTTGTGGACACTATTACAAGAGATCTGCTGGGCAGCCGTGTCTTTGTGTTCACACCAAGGGGAGAGGTAAGGATGAACTATGTCATAATATACTATATGACTATTTTTGCCCCCTTCAATTGATTGAAGATGATTAGAAACTTGTATCTAAATACCATATGCCGTTTCTTGATAATTTTTGTCACATTATGTGCAGATTAAGAATCTTCCTCAGGGTGCTACTGTCATTGACTATGCTTATATGATCCACACTGAAATAGGCAACAAGATGGTAGCTGCAAAGGTATCACTCCCCACATTTGCATGCTAATGGAGTCAAGTGTCAGATGTCAGTCAAAAAAAGACATGTAAAATAAAATGTTCGTATTATTGAAATATTAGACACTCATTTGGTGTAAATGCAGGTCAATGGCAATCTTGTTTCCCCTGCTCATGTACTTGCAAATGCAGAAGTTGTGGAGATAATCACATATAATGTCAGTGTTGGTCAACTCTTCCTATGTGTTTGCTTTTTTGTTTGATAGATTTGATGTAAATGGAAAGTCATTATGTTTTGAGTATATGTGCAAATATAAATTTTCTAGGAAGATACTGTGTTATGTTTATTGAATCGAATGATTCACTATCTACAGTTCTTAAGTTTCAGATTTATGATATAATTGTATGCTATCAAATGCTTTGGTATTAAATAGTACACGTTCACACAAATTTTATTTGTTAGAATATCTTGAGGGTATCTTAGGATAATTTAGTATAACATCGTAATATATTTGCAATATCTTTAGAATATATTATGTAACAATTTTTCATCTCATCGAGTAAGCATTGTTAGCAGTTGTTAAAATATTCATTATGTTTCCTCGTGATTATTAGATCATCGAGGAATCAATTACAGTTAGTAGCCTTGTTGCTTTGGGGGCCTCAGGCTTGTACATTTGATATTATGCTAGTATTTGACCGAAGTATCAATTACAAATACGAGTATTGGGTTAATATTTTGTTGCACATCATTTCACAACTTGTTGATACAATCTCTCTGTAGTGAGTTTTCCTTTTGCGTTTTCACCGTCTCTAAATAAATCCGAAAATTTGATTATATATTTCCCCTCCATAATAATTTGTATGTTTCTTCCTTGACAACCATAATTTGTTTATGCCCCTTTTAAACTGTTATTGAAGGAAAATATTTTTGCTTATAGATAGATAAATGGTTAGTCACAATTACCATATATATTTGCCTTTCACTTCATTGGAGCTCATTATATTAACTTTGTTTCCAGGCACTTTCCAGCAAATCTGCTTTTCAGAGGCATAAGCAGTGGTTACAACATGCTAAAACACGCAGCGCAAGACACAAAATAATGAAGGTAAGATTTCATATAATGTTTTAACCCCGAAAAAATTGTGCTTTAAAATAACATTTTATATTTTGTGTAGTTTTTGAGGGAGCAAGCTGCACGCTCTGCTGCTGATATCACTACGGAAGCAGTCAATGACTTTGTCACTGATTCTGATGGAGATAGTGAATCTGAAGAACTATCAAAAGGATCCAGTGGTTCCAAATATACGTGGGGTAAAATGTCTGTGAATGGAGTGGAAATTTCAACTTCTGGAAGAAGTGAGGCTGTCCACCAAAGTAAGAATGGAAGTGTTTGGATCCCCAAGGTCAATGGAAAACATAATAAGCATGTGCAGCATGAAAGTTTCAATGGCAAAGGGGAAATGTTACTGCAGGGAAATATTGTGGCAAAGATGATTCAAGTTAACATTCCAAGATATAAGGAAGTCCTTCCAGGTTTGGAAAGTTGGCAAGCCCAGAAAATTGCTTCTTGGCACAATATGGAAGGGCACTCCATCCAATGGTTATCTGTAGTATGTATAGATCGAAGAGGTAAGCTTGCTCTTCTAAATATGCTAGTAAAATAGATGCTTTGCACCTTGTGGTCAATGAACATTTAGGTAACTGCATTTTTTCGATCTAATCATGCAAGAGTGGATATCTGGGTGAAACCCATTGGCTACTGGTTGATGACTTGTCTCTGACAAACAAATGTTATTTCACCATCTTGATTGTAACCTGGTTAATAATTATTTCAGGCATGATGGCTGAGGTTACTACAGCATTGGCCACTGCAGGCATAGCCATACGCTCTTGTGTGGTGAGTGGTTAAACCAAAGTCCAATCAATTATACAGTACTTCACCAAGACTTCTTGACATTATATTAGTATGGTTATATTTTTGGCATATCATTAACACTTTGACTTATCAAATAACCAGGCTGAGATTGATGGAGGAAGGGGAATGGCTGTCATGGTATTTCACGTAGAAGGAAATTTAGAAAATTTGGTACTGCCATGTCTGAAAACGCTATTGATAGTCTAGAGATCGTTGTTTCATCAAATGTTTCCATTGTCAACTTACACAATATTTTGTTTCTCAGGTCAGTGCCTGCTCTAAAGTAGATCTGGTACTGGGTGTTTTGGGATGGTCTACCGGTTGCAGCTGGCCAAGCTTGATGGAAGACCGTAACGTTCTCGAGTGCTAGTTGATTTATTGCACACCAGATCAGGGGATTAAGTTTTGTCCAGGGCAGCATAGGCATTTATGTGGCTAAATTTTGTTCATAGTTCTCATATATTTGTTCAAACTTACTAACCCAATAATCCGGCAGCAGCCTATTGAGTCGAAGACTCGAAACTCAAGGCACTGTATATAGAAAAGAGTGATAGGATAAAGAAGTATACAATGTAAAGTACTGTGCATAAACTAAGCATTTTTAGCCAAAGTAGAATCCTAGGGCTCTCGTTACATATTGTCACTTTTTCTGGCCAGTTTAACTCTTACTTTTCTACCTAATTTGTGAAAATGCTAATAATGCTGGTATTCGTAATAGGCAGGATCAGTAAACTCATTCTAATTTCTTGTCTTGTAAAAATAATTTACATTTTTCTTTATGTAAATAATTTGACTTTTAAATATCTAATTAATTTTATTTGGTGCATAATTGATTATATGGGTTCAAAAATTATATTTATTTCCATTAGAAATGTTAATAACCTTTTTCAGTACACGTTTCGTCGTTTGTAGAATTTCATTAGGATTCACGAAATTATGATTAAAGCTTAGTTAATTTAATGGTGGTACTTGCGAAATTTCACAAGTTTGAAGGAGTTTAATTCGATATATATATATATGTAATTTTTTTTCTCCGATATTTAATTATATCAAGTGTGATTTTTAAAACAGTTATCACAGAAAGAATTAATTGTTTATTATTAACGATAATGTAATTTTTTTGCATTATCATTATATTCAAATCAAACAAAATATGTCGAAAACATTGTTGTCTCCATTTATCATAAGCCACAGACCATATGATTCAATAAACGCGAGAATAGCAATATCCATTTCCAAACTCATTTGGGGAAAAAGAAAAAAAATCGATCCTCTAAATTCGGTTGACTACTGAATTAGCCTCATCTAGGACATAAAATGATTCTTGTGGACGATGCGTGAGTAGAACTAAGAGCAAGAGCAGCGCCAGCAACAGGAAGGGAAAAAGCCAGGTTAATGGTTGATAATTGGACACCATAAGGACGTTTAGATTTTGGCACATAGTTGCTTTTTTTGCATCGTCGCAGTCGGAATCATCCACATCAGAGTCAGTGCAAACATGGGTATGCTTTGCAGGCCAGACTGGCTCCTCCTTGTGATCCAGGGTGGTAGTCCCTGTCGCTTTCTCTGAAACATCATCAACATCATCCTTTTCGTCCTCAGTTTCCGAGGATGTTATGTCATGTTGAGGCTCTTCATCCTTTTCCACCTCTTGTGCTTCCGCAACCCCACTTTCGTTGGACGACGCCGCACTTTCTGGGTGCGAATAGTCAGAAAACACAATTTCTTGGGTTGGGTTCTCCTCAACACTTGTTTCTTTAAGCTCACTTTTCTCTTCCTGAACATATATATATGATATACCCAAGTTAAAGGTCATACACAAACCATAAAGGAAGGATGAATTATCAATATCAAGAATTTCAACTAACTTGATTGACGCTGATATTCGGTGTCCAACAGCTGCATGCATGCAGTAACAAATTTAACAAAGTTAAATCCATGTGACGTAACGTATAGAGAATCCTGAAAGGCATATATATATAATCTTGAAGATATAGAGAAAGAGAGGTATATACCATGTGGCATCCCCATGTGGGATTGTTGAATCTTGAATAAGAGAGGTGAGGGTTTGAGTGGTGTCAATGTGATGATCTTCCAACAACAATTGTTGGGGTTTAGGTTGGTGATCCTTTGGCTTACGTTTGTTGCTTGCAAAGGAAGCAACGGCCATGAAACCTGCGAAGGCCAATGCTCCACCGAAGACAAGAAGGCCCGCAATGCCACCTTCGCTGCCAATGCTAATAAATGGGTGGATTTTCCTCTTTCCTTGCCTTTTGTTCTCCATGCTGATGATGATGAAGATGATGATATCTCGTTGAAAGTGCGACACTATGTTAAGGGGATCTTATATATAAAGGGAGTGAGAGTGAGATAGAAGCGGGCTTGTCCCTATTTCTTCACACCTGTTTGCATATTGGCCATCACTATCCGCACTTCTAGCTTCTTCTAATTCTTCCATTACATTTTCAAATCAACCTATTAATCCTGCCTAGTGCCTAGTGTGCACTAAAGAGACATTCAGAGTCATACACGATCCCTCATTACATCTCGCCTCGCGTGATTCATGTTCTCCATGTTTTACACGCTCTCTCACCAATCACCATACTTGACAGATCCTCTTCTTCTTTCATTATTTTTTTATTTCGAATATGTCCCTCATAGAGTTTATGGAAATATTTTGTGGGAAAGAAAATTAGTTAAATGGTATTACCCAAAATTATTGACAATTCCATGCATAGAAAACAATCTATACCCGTTAAAAAGAAGGGAAAAAACGGGAGATCATGGTTCCCCTTTCTATGATTGACGTAACCATCTCTGAATATAAAAATAAAAAAAGGTAAATAATTTGTATACCGGTTAATAATAATTTTACATCAATGGTGCATACTAAAAAATTACGTAAGAACATTACTTTTCTAAAGATTAATAATGCTTTTGTATTTATATACACAAGTGGTGGAAACAAAGGCACCCTGTGCATTGGATAGTATGGATTATTGTTATGTAATTAATAACTTAATTTATATACTAATATTTTTGTTTATAAAAACAGTATTACATCAAACTCAACTGTCATTGTACAAATATGATGTTATAGGTAATTGGATAAACTAAAAAATTCTTTTTTGAAAATAAAAAGTACTAAAAGTATATTTCTAAAATTTTAAGAAAAAAATTACATCAAAAAAGAAAGCATATTGTACATATATTTTATTTAAAATATGCTTTCTTAGTTTATAAATGAATTAAGAAAGCATATTTTAAATAAATGTAAAATTTTGTTGACAACGATAAACTTATTTTTAGCGATATTTATGCTTTGTCAATCAAAATGACTTTTGGTAACATAAGAAAATAATTTTTAAATTAACGATTTTCAATATGTTTTATTTATTTATTTTTATTTTCTCAAAATTTAAGGGGAAAATGGTTTTTGAGTTTCTATTTATTTATTTTTTATTTTCCAATATTATTTTTTAAAATATGAAAATTAATTCCTTTTGTAGTTTATTTCAATAATTAAGTTATTTAATTAAATATAAAATCAAGTCGTGGTTTTAAATGTGTTTAAAGCCCAATTTGTTTAGACGAATTTGTTAGGAATTCAGCCCAATAGGTATGAGGGTCTCCATTTAAATGGATAAAATCTGGCTGGCATACTAAGGGTTTTCTATTTTATTTTTTGCCTAATTTGCGTCCACCCCAGTTGGCATGCATGCTAATGGGATGTCCAGTGATAAAGAATGTAAAAAAAAAAAAAAAAAATGAAAAACTGAAGGATGGGAAAACCATAAAAATTTAACATAAGATTAACAAAATGATGGGAAAAATCTCTGACACGTAGCAGTGAAATTTGAAGGATATCGAAAACAATTTTTTGTTATACATAATGGAAACAAGTTTATGTTATATAACAATCGTTCTATATGTTAACATGTATTTTTTTTTTAATAATATTAGTTATTTTTTGTTTTTCACTTATATTTGTAAATTTCACTTGCTTTTAATCTTTCATACATAACATTGATTTTCTTTTTATTTTTTATTGCGTGAGAAAATTTCTAATTAAGTAAGCTAATAAAGATTAAAATTAAAAAATATGGGATAAATGAAAATTTATTCAAAGTCAAACAATGAAATTAATTGAAAGAACTTAAAAAAATACAAAATTCCATATAATAAATTTCATAAGCACTTTATATAAAAAAAAATCATAATAGAAATAATAAATTTAAAATTTATTGCGTTAGGAAATACACATGTGAGCACTAGTAGTATTCTAAAGTGCGTAGTTTGATCCAGAATCAGAAACAAAGGATGAAAATATTTTTTTATTGGGCCATTGAGACACACAAATAGAAACGGGCCGCGAAAATAAGCCCATGAGACAGAAGCCCAAGAAATATATGAGAGCACTTAGTTGTTGATTGGAAACCCTAGGGTTATATAGTGGGTTCCCCAACACATTCGGCGTTAAGCTGAGCTTCACCGTCGGTTGCACCAAAAATGGTTTCCCTCAAACTGCAGAAGCGCCTCGCCGCCAGCGTCCTCAAGTGCGGCAGAGGAAAAGTTTGGCTTGACCCCAATGAAGTCAACGAAATCTCCATGGCCAATTCCCGTAACCACTTCCTCTTCCTGCTTCGCTTTTTTATGATTTCCTTTTCACTCTTTAGTTTTCATGCGATCTGAACCTTTCCGCTGTTTTTGAGCGTTTGCGATAATTTACGTCCGTGCCACTGCACTTTGTATGTTATCATCGAATGTTATTGGCTTTTCCAGTGATTGCATAGCCTTAAGGGTTACCGAAATGCCTTTACAATCTTCTATGTTATGTATTTTTTGTTTTCAAAGACTTGTTTTTTTTTTTTATTATTATGATTTTCAGGCCAAAACATTAGGAAGCTGGTGAAGGATGGGTTTATCATCAGGAAGCCCACCAAGATTCACTCTCGCTCGCGTGCTCGTAGAATGAAGGAAGCTAAGAGGAAAGGACGACACTCTGGATATGGTATTTTTATTCCTAACCCTAATTTGTCTTATGGTTTGGGGATCCATTCTTAGTTTAGCCCCTTTTGGAAGAACTCATTTTCAGTTTATTTGGATTTATCTTGTGATATAACTACTTGTGTTAGTGTTTATGAAATAGCTTATTAGTTATTATGTCTACAATATTTTTTCAGAAATAGGTTCTACTGTGTTGCTTATAAAAAGTGTTTACAATTTATATAAAATATTGTTAAACCCCTCTTTCCATTATAAAACTAATTTACATACAGGGGATTGCATAACGACTACTTATTCAATAAGAATTTTATTAAGCTTTTTAAGCAAACAGGCTCTTAGTATGTGATCTTCTGCTTTATTATTATGTTCCTAGACTGTTATATATGTATTCATTATGGAATTACTATGATATTGTAAAGATCTTACTGAGTTGTTTGCCATTTTGATAATTGGATTGATTTTTGTAATTGTTTCGTGAATTAGCCTATAGTTTATATGAAATATTTATGGGTATATGGAGGTAATGCGTGGTTACTTATTTTGTTTCCCTGACAACTACTAGGTAAGCGTAAGGGTACAAGGGAGGCAAGGCTTCCCACCAAAATCCTTTGGATGAGGAGAATGCGAGTGCTCAGACGCTTGCTCCGCAAGTACAGGGAATCTAAGAAGATTGACAAACACATGTACCATGACATGTACATGAAGGTTAAGGGTAATGTTTTCAAGAACAAGAGGGTTTTAATGGAGAGCATTCACAAGTCCAAGGCTGAGAAGGCTAGAGAGAAGACATTGTCTGATCAGTTTGAGGCCAAACGTGCCAAGAACAAGGCCAGCAGGGAAAGAAAAATTGCTCGGAGGGAGGAGCGATTGGCCCAAGTGAGTTTCATACTGTATTGAGAATATATTTGCACGTGTACATAGTGAATTTATACTTTCTTGGTTGTTGACTTGATGCACTTGAAGATTTGATGCATTAACAAGTATTTTAGCTGGATTTTGTAGTTAAGAATTTTGACCATTCTCCTTTTTCTTGTAAAATGTCTAGGGTCCTGGAGAAAGGGCGCCAGCTGCACCCAGTGCTCCATCTGCTACAGCATCACAGCCAGCCCAGTGAGTATTATGATTTATGCTTGTCCTGTATGTACTTCATTTGGGTTATTATGCGAGTATGTTTTGTCTAAATGAAAATCTTTTATTGCAGAGCACCAAAGAAATCCAAGAAGTGAGCCACTTATTCTGAGATTGGCTTGTAGAAATTTTTGGACTGGCATCCCGAGTTTCTGTTCTAAAATAGTAGTTTTGACGAGTTTGGAGGAGTTTCTGTGTTGGTTTAGACCTTGTTTAATTTTTATTTAAGTATATGAAATTATAACATTCCGTTCTTTTTATTGGTGTTAGCTGTTTTTTTTTTATATGGATCATTTTTGTTGCGGAAATACTTGTTTTAATTCTTTTCTGGTCATGGCGTTTTGCTTTTTTAATTCGCTCATCCCCAATTGTTTTAATTTGTTTGTCGAGGAAACAATTCTTCAAAATTACATGGTAATTACAGGAAATTTCCGGTTATCGGTATTCATTAGGGAAAGGCCTGGTTAAGCTGAAGCATCGAAGGTAACTTGTATGAGATTCAGAGACATGAATTCAAAGAATTTAATTAAATACACAAATGATTTACAGAATTTGTTTTCAGCTGTAAATTTAGTGTAAAACATCTTTAGTAATTGAGATGGCGTTGAAAGACATATGAAGTATCAATGGTAACAACTTGAATTTATTGAATACATTTAATTATATGCATTAAACCAAGTTAAATAGAATTTTGTTTTGTGAGTTAATTTATGTGCAGATTAAGAATATTTGTAGTACTTGGGATGACATTGATTGACATGAAATTTTAATATTGTGATGTCTATTCGTGGGAATAATTAAGGTTTCTCAAGAAAGAATTTAGGGTTAGATTGTTTAAAAAATAGATAATATTGTAGTTAAAATATACCTTTGAATTAATACCACTTATATTTCAACATGTACGACATATGGAGAATTGATTTTGATTTTGAAGTCCCTTAAAATTTCACAACTCTTATAATCTTTACTTTTCTTTTTTATTCTTTTTATATATTTTTCTTTTCATTAATTTATCAAATGATTTAGTTGTTTTTATTTCTTTTAAATCTTCAAATGTTTTTAGTTAATTTCATCTTTTCGAATATCACGTGTTTATTTGTTTCCCT